TGGGGACCGTCCTGGTGCAGGTGGGTCGAAGGAGGTCGCCTCCGCCCGGCTCCCCAGACCCCCTTGCGCCTCTGCCCGACGTGATGGGCTCCAGAGTCCCAGGACGGGGGTGCTGCGCTAAGCCACGGCTTCGCTAACCACGGTCTGTTGCATAAACCACGATGGGCGGGGTTCCCCGCCCTGAAGCGCGGCCTGGGCTTGCGGCCTGGGCGCGCCTGGTCCGTCGACCGTGGCTGGGTCGGCGAGGCGCGCCGAGCCGTGGAGCCCCCGCGCTGCCCGGGTCGGCACCCTCTCGGCCCGTTTTGCCCCGCGGCAGCCTTGAAACCACTCGCGGGCCTCAGCGGACGGATCCCTGCAGAAGAACCGCCCAGAACCGACCGAGGCCGCGCGCTGACCACTCACGCAGCCCACGTTTCGCGACGTGGAGCAGGACGGCAGCCTGCGCCAAGTTTTTTAAAAGTTTAAAAAAATACGCGCTCTGGTTCTCTCAGTCACGACCTCTGCCCTGAGCTAAAGCATGGCTAGCTAACAGATTGTCGGTTCGGTTTTGGCTTGGCTGTTGCTTCCTGAGCCCTCACGCCATTTTTGTGGCTGAGCACCCTGCCCAAACCCCAACCCTTGTGTGTTGTGCGAACCTGGGGTAAGTAAACAGCACCCCAAAGGGGGAGTCAGGCCATCCTTTCCCACGTGAATCTTTTTCTTTTTTGCTTCTTCCAACTCCAGTTGAGTAAAGCTCCGTCTGTAATCTAACCTGAATTCCCTGGCTGAACCTAATTGATAGCATTGTTATGAATATTTCAGAAGAAGGATGCAATAAAAATGGAATTGATGCTTCAGTTGCTCCATAGCCTCCCTCCAGCTCTCTGTCCCTCAGTTACGTTTTTGCACGAGTCCTATCTGCCTTGACGCCTTATCTTGCCAAACGGCCCTACTCCAGTGTGTACCTCGCTATAGATTTAACAGATGTTTTCCTTTCCATTTTTAACATAATTTAAGGATCCTTCAGAAGTTAATATTTTCTCCTTTTAACTCCTTAAGACTAAGTCTCTTAGCCTTCTGGTGGAGAAAAACCAGATTTAGTAGACATATTCCACAATAACTGAGTGTCATATGTCATTTGGAATACTCTGGCAATATAATGCACTGAAGAGATGCAGCTTAGAGCCGATTAAAGATGATCGAGGTGGAAAATACAATGTACTAGTTTCCAATGGAACTGTCTTTGCGTTGATTTCAGAAATATTCCTTTAATTACCAGTAATAGATTTGGGAAATTAAATGTATTTATGTAGAATAAGGCAGGAGGCCAAAGCTATTTTTTCAATCAAATTACAGGTAGTCCTCACTTAATGACCATTTGTTCAGTGACTGAAATTACGACGATGCTGAAAAAATGGATTTATAACCTGTGCCCAAATTTACAACCGTTGTAGTGCCCCTGCAGTAATGTGATCAAAATTTGGGTGCTTGGCAAACTGCCTGCACTTACAACCACAGGGGCACTTCAACTACCCCCACCCACCTCTTTCCTCCCATCTCTGCCCTTTTGGCCCCCTGCTGCCCTGTGCACCATCGCTCCAGCTGATCTTTGCTGCCATCTTCATGCTCTCACTGCTGATGAGGCGTGTCTGGCCTAGCTGCTGGACCCTATGGGGCTGGCTTCGCGCTGCGAAGAAGGGAAAAAGACCCAAAAGCAGCCTTTTTCTTCCATTCTTCCCAGCGCAAAGCCAGCCCTGGCCTCACCCAGGAGCTCCAAAGAGGACTTTGTGCTGAGAAAAAGGGAAAATGAGCCCAAAGCAGCCTTTTTTCCCCTTCTTCCCAGCGCTCCCTCTCATTCCTGGGGGCTGGCTGAAAAAACGCCATTCC